TTCTCCCATACCCCCTCCAAACCAAGACCCCCTTTAGGGTACACTTTGCATATTATCTGCACCTCATTTGCATGTTAATATAACCCACGTGTTCCTACTGGGTCTGTAGCACAGCTTGGAAAAATGGCTGTCCATGGGATCCTTCTGGATCTCCCAAGTCTCAGGTCCCCTCAGCCCCTCCCCCTTGCCCAGAATGTTGTCAGATGAGCCTCCCACCCTGCGTCCTCTCTGCTCTCCATTTACAAAGGCTTCTCTGCAGCCCAGCTGCCATCGTTCCTCCCTCTTTGCTCCTTCTGTCTCCAGGGGAAGGCTCTACCAGATCTCTCCCTGCCTCACTCCCCACCCTGAGGAGGTCCACTCTGCCCCATCCTGTCCTGCCAGCACTGCCCCAGAGGGTGAATCAGAAGCAGCTGGAGACCTCCAAAGGGTACTTTTGGTGACACAGATGCTGTCAGCCAAAGAGGTCATAGCTGTGGCCTGAGGTCAGGATTGGGCAGGCCCTGGGGCCATCAGAGCAAGAAGGCCATCCTAGCTACTCCCCCCACCCCCTCCTATCTCCATGGCAGCCCTAAGCCCTCCCAAGCCTTGGGCTCCAGGAGAAGTAGCTCAAAGCCAGTTCTTCTGGGAGGGCTTCCTAGAGGAGGAGCAGGTGGGAAAGGAAAAGAGGAATGGGGCCAGGGCAGGCCAGGGAGAAAAGGCTCACATCTGGAGAACAGATGCCAAGGCCTCTGGCTCCTGGAAGTTGGTTAGGTAATTAGGTAGACTGCTAATTAAGGAGGTCCAGGTGTTCATTAAAATGTCGCTAATTGGGTAGGAGGGAAGCTTGGACAGGATAGGCCTCTATACCTTGGATAGGGTCAGTTTAGGGTCCTCTGTGCCCATTTCGGCCCCAGCCACCCCTCTTTCAAAGTTAGGGGTGAATTCATGTTCTTGTCCCAGAGCTTTCTAAGACTCTGCAACAATGTAGAATGGAGAGCAGAGAGGAAAGAGGCTGGTACTGACTGAGCCTGCTGTGTAGGCGGGCTCCTGGTTAGATAGGAGGAAGGACTGCCCAAGGTAGGGGTATCGCTTCCTCTGGCAGTGGAGGGGCAGTGGGGAAGGGGCCTTGACAACATGGAATTCTAAAAAGTGCTTTGGGCTACTGGTGGGGATAGATGTTGCCCTCCTGATTTCCCTGTCAGAGGGTGTTGGATGGGTCTCTGTGGCTTTCCTGTCTTCTCAGCCCTGATCCCTCTCACATCCTAGCTCCCCCAGCATGAGGCGGGGGTGGGGGGGGGCGGTATAGGAGATCAGCCAGGGAGCTGGTTGCCAGGCGACAGTTGCCTAAGCAACCCCATCCTCTCTATCTCCATGTGCTCAGGGCTGCTCCTTAGAAGACTTTAGAGTCTCACCCTCTATACCAGCCAACCCAAGGGTGGAGAGGGTTGAGGACTAGAGTGGCAGAGGTGGTCGGAAGGTAGATGGTTTCCAAACGGACAAGCTTCAGGTGCAGCTGGGAGAGGAAGTTAGCTGGTCCTGATTGAAAGCAGGACTGATTGAAAGACCACAAAAGGACTTCTTACAGGGTCACAAAGATGAAACAATCCTTTCTTCCTTTCAACAGATATTTCCTGAGCTTCTCCTTTCAGGGGATAGAGTGGTGAAAAAGACAAATGTGGTTCCTGCCCTCATGAAGCTTGAGTCTCATAAATGAGCCCGGCATTAAATAGAAGCACAGAATTATAATAATTTAGAGCAGCGGTCGCCAACCGGTGGTCCGTGGACCACTGGTGGTCCTTGAGGTCTGAAAGGTTGGTGACCGCTGATTTAGAGTCATGATAAGTGCTAGAAAGAAAAGAACAAGATGCCCTGAGAGTAAACAATTGGGGGAACCAAAGGAGTGAGGTTGGCTTGCAGTAATGGCTTTTCTGAGTGTCATGAGAGCTAAGAATGTGTTCTCTCCCAACTCGGAGGAAGACATAGTATTGGCCATACGTTGACAGAGGTTACATCTCAGCAAGAATTTGCTTGTGAACAAAGGGTGGTGAGAAGGAGATATAGTAAAATGGGAGGGGAAGGGCAGTGAGATGCTATAAGCCAGAGGAATGCTGGAGTGACTGCATTTACCATCCTGGATTGGGGTCTCCAAAGCAGACCAGAGAATCCTTTTTAAAAGCCCTCTTCTTAGCCCCACTCCCCTACCTTCCGTGTGCCCTCCTCACCTCCCCTGCCAAGCTCTAGAAAATGCAGCCTTTGGATTGCACTGGGAGGCAGGGGAGCCGAAATCCTTGAGTTGGAGACTTTGTAGCAGGGGTTTGGCAGAGATTGGGGTTACAGGCAAGGAATGGTGAGGGGATAGAGCAGTTCTAGGTCCAGGTATCTGCTGGGCCACTCAGGGTTGGCTGGGCTTATGTTGGGGTTGTCCTAGGGCCCTTCTGAGGGCCACAGTGGGAGGCCCAGGCCCCATGGAGTAGGTTGAGAACAAGGAAGAGGGGACCAGAGAGGGGTAGGGGGTCCTTCCAGGGGTGGGAAGGGAATTACATTGCTTTCTGAAGACACAGACGGAATAGAAGCTCTCTTTCCAGCTGGGCTAGGGAAGGCCTGAGGGACAGTCCTGGTGATGGGAGAGTGGAGAGGGGTATCCCTGGCTCCTCCCAAGTGCACAGATTCCCTGCCTGCCCTCCCCCATGCCAAGATGCTGAGGCTGAGCTACAGACCCTATTGTGGAACACTGGCCATGGTTGAGTGGAGCTAAAAAGGCTCAGCCATTGGAAATGGGGGTGGGGGGTGGGGGGGATGCGTTCCTAATTACAGGTGTCTATTATCAAACACCTCTCCCCACCTCCCTTGACTTTGCAGTGGGGTCTCTGATGGGGTGCTGTGGAAGGGAAATTCTGGAGGGAAGTGCTGGGTTTCTATGGTCTGGGCTCCTCTCAGGACCCAGTCAGAGAGGCTTTAGAAAGCATGACTCCCACCCTAGCTGGTTTGGCTCAGTGGATACAGCGGTGGCCTGTGGATTGAAGGGTCCCAAGTTCGATTCCAGTCAAGGGCACATGCCAGGGTTGCAGGCTCAATCCCCAGTAGGGGGGTGTGCAGGAGGCAGCTGATCAATGATTCTCTCTCATCATTGATGTTTCTATCTCTCCCTCTCCCTTCCTCTCTGAAATCAATAAAAAAAAATATTTTTTTTTTAAAAGGGAAAGAAAGCACGAGTCCCATGCTCACTGCGCCCTCCACCATCTCTGATGCAGACTCCTGAAATCAAAGAGCTGGAGGGACCCTGGGATTAATTCATGCCTCCAGCCCCCCAGGGCTCACCCAGCCTGTTGGGGCGCTGCCCACACACCTGAAAGCATGCACCTTTTCAGGCTCAGGCTGAGCTCTCATTCCTGTGTCCCCCTCCCCTCCCAAGGTATTTCCAGGATTGTATAGTACAGGGGCTCCATTTCCCATTCTGGCTCTGGAATGGGAGCTGTTCAGCCAATGGGCCGTGACGGTTTATACCAACAGATGTACTGAGACAGACTCCCGCCGGTGCCTGCACCCCCGGCTTTCCGCAGTCTCCTATGGGTACATCAGTAGGCTCTGTGTTTTCTCTTTGTGCTTCAAGGTGAACAAGGTTGGGAAGCACTATTTAGACTGAACTTGGGTTCTAGACTCGGCCCATTCCTTTAGAGTAGGAATCAGCAAACTGTGACCCATTCATGTTCGTATAAATCTAGTTTCGTTAGAACACAGCCACACTCATTCATCTGTGTGTTGTCTACAGCTGCTTTCATGCTACAATGGCAGTGTAGGCCTGCAAAGTCTGAAATATTTATTACCTGGCCCCTCACAGAAAAAAATTGCCAACCCCTGGTCTAGAGGGGTGATTTGTTTGTTTGTTTGTTTATAGCAACAGAACCCTTCAAAAAATTATAGGTTTAGGCCCACTGAGTGAAATGGACTGGTGTGGAAGTGGTTGGAGAGATAGGGGGTCTGCAGCCCCGGCCCCACTCTGGAATACCAGGCTCCAGGGCGTCATGAGCTGGGTGTGAGGATCTTTGCTCTAGACTTGCTCTGGTATGTTCTTTGTGTTTTTTTTTTTAAGATTTTAAAATAAATTATATATATTTTTAAAAATTAGTTTTTCTTGATTTCAGAGAGAGGAAGGGAGAGGGAGAAACATCAGTGATGAGAGAAAATCGTTGACTGGCTGCCTCCTGCACGCCCCCTGCCCCCTTCCCTCCCCCAGGATCGAGCCTGTAACCCAAGCATATACCTTGACTGGGAATCGAACTGTGACCTCCTGGTTCATGGGTCAACACTCAACCACTGAGCCACACCAGCTGGGCTAAATTAATTTTTAGAGAGAAACATAAATGTGAGAGCAAAACATCAATTGGCTGCCTCCTACACGCCCCCTACTGGGGATCGAGCCTGCAACCCATTCATGTGCCTTGATTGGGAATTGAACCAGCAACCTTTAGGTGCATGGGATGATGCCCAACCAACTGAGCCACACTAGCCAGGGCTCTGGTATGTTCTTGATACAGGGATGCAGAATCACTCCCATTGTGGCACCAGGTAAACTGTGCCAGCTGCATGGACTTGGCAGGTGTTCACTCAACACGTTCTCTGCACTGAGCTCCAGCACAAGAGCCACTGTTCTAGGCCAGAGGGACCGCTGGTGAGCCCAGGTGTCTCTACTCTGAGAGAAGGAAGTGGCTGAGATGTTCTCTAAGACCCAGACCCTTAGAAGCCAGGGAGCTCCATGTACTCCATCTGACCTGGAACCTGAGGGCAGCAGTGATGGCATGGAAAGGGCCTGGACCAGAGTCCTGGGCTCTGAGTGTGAGGTCCAGCTTGTGCCTGGCTGTGGCATGCCGTCCCCTCAGGTTGCCACCCTGTCCTCACTTTGAGGATGGGGCTCAGACACTGACAGCCTCTCCCAGAGGTGCTGTGGACCTGGCCTGTGTGCCCAAGGAGCAGGGCTGAGGATTGCTAGGACTGACTGTCTTGTCATGACCTTCCCCTCCCAGGAGGCTGTGCAGAAGGTGTCCTGCAGACCATGAACTGAGCACTGGTCCCAGACCGTTCATGAGCACAGTGTGAGGTGTGCCGAGACCTGCCACCCAGCGATCCCCTCCCCTCCCTAGCACTGAGGATCCTCAGAGAAGATGGGGAGGAAAAAGATTCAGATCCAGCGAATCACCGATGAGCGGAACCGACAGGTGAGGAGGTCCTAGGGCCACACAGTGTGGATGAGGGCAGGGAGCTGGCCTCTGCCTCTGTTCATTACAGCCACTCCAAGAGGGCTTCCTGGAGGAAGGGGTCTCTGAAGGCTATTATGAAAGGGGAAGGACTGAGTTGGGAAAAAGAGGAGCCCCCACCTCCTTGCAGCTGTTAGAAACCTGTGTCCCAGAACACCTGCTGCTGATGCAACCATACAAACCTATGGCCAGGAGCCCTGCCCAGGAGCCATATGCCCTGGGCATGCCCCCTTTCCCAAGATGAATCCTTCCCTCTTCCTGCCCCAGGGGAAAAGCCAGGAAGTCCTTCTGTTCTCCTTCCTTGACCTCATTATAGTTCCCAGAACAGATGTGGAGGTCGGTGCATCTGAATCCTCTGCCTTCAGTGAGTTAGCTGTGGGCTATGTCGTGGCCATGTGTTGGCAGAGGGGTGCTGGCCTGTTTCTTCCTCAGGCCAGGGGCTCCTGAAAAGAGAGCTGTGTCACCCTGAGATGGGGGCTCCCAAGAAGGGGCTGTGTCCAGCTGCCTGTAGGTGGGGACTCCTGGGAAGGCCTTGACTGAGCCAGATCTGGCTGCCCACCCATCCACCTGCAGGTGACATTCACCAAGCGGAAGTTCGGGCTCATGAAGAAGGCGTATGAGCTAAGCGTGTTATGCGACTGCGAGATCGCGCTCATCATCTTCAACCACTCCAACAAGCTGTTCCAGTACGCCAGCACCGACATGGACAAGGTGCTGCTCAAGTACACAGAGTACAACGAGCCGCACGAGAGCCGCACCAATGCTGACATCATCGAGGTGGGCCCACGCACCGGACCCCGCCCACCCCTGCCTGCCACCCAACATCACGTGCCCATGCAGCACGCACCCACAGGCCTGGCCTGCCTGTGCATGCGCAGGTGTACACCTGCCCTCATAGCTCCTCACCTGTGTGCACCAACATATAAACCCACGTCCTCTCACACAAACCCTAGGCTGAAGAGGAAGGAGGGGCAGTGAGTACATGTCAGGCGTGGCTGCCCACCCAGCCCACTCCCACTGCAGCCCTCAGAGTCTTTCTTCTTGTCTGTCAGGCATGGCATGACCTCTCCTCCATCTTTTCTCAAGTTCTCTCTCTCGGTGTCTGTCTCTCCCCCTTCTCTAGCTTTTGGTCTGCTACCGCATCCGACTCTACCTTTGTCTTCCTCTTTGTTTTTGTCTCTCCTGCTGTCTCTGTCCCTTTTTGGGTCCCATAGCCCTACGTTCTGTTTCAAAGAGGGCTGCCATTGTGAACTGTTGAGAGACAGGGGCTTTGGGGTCCAGTTCTGGCCTTTACTGGCCACATGACCTTGGCAGAGGGGTTGGCCTCCCAGAGCTTTGATGCTCATCCACCGCCACGAAATGGGGCCAGTGCCTGCTTTGAAGGGTGTTGTGGGAACTGAATGAGACGGTCCAGTTCTTGCTCCTCACACAAGGTATTCATGCCTTGGGCATATGAACTTGTGTCAGTGGAGAAGGATGCCTGGGAAGGCACAGGCCTGCCTTCCTGTAGTGAGACTTTAACTCAGAGATTTGGAGGAAATTCCCTTATTTTTATATTAGAGAAAACAGATTTCCTCAGGACTAGGATGTAAAATCTGCATTCATTTTAAAGACAAAACAAGTATCTATGAAGATGTTTTGGTCCTTGAGAGGGCAGCTTTGAGGTCTCCTCCAGACCCACCAGGTATGTCCTTACTTTATGGCCACACGTGAGAAGCTCTGACCTTGGGCAAGGGCAGCATATGGGGTGGTACATGGAGCTCAGTCAAAGCTAGTTCCTCTGTTTGCCTTTCTCTCTCTTGTCTCTCTACCTCTCTGTCTCATTTCTATTTCTCTCCCCTCCATCTTCTAAGCAGAGCCCAGGAATCGAGCTAGGCAAAGCCAGCCCTGAGTACCTTCCCCTGGGGAACGCTCCGTGCCTTTGTGCAGAGCTGGTCATGGGTGGTAAGGCAGGGGCTGGCCAGAGCACCGTCCTCCCAACGCCCAGAGCCCTCCCCACCTATCACCTTCGAGGCACATGTCTCTGCACCACGTGCATTCTCTGGGCTATGCCCACCTTCCATGTGACCCCTGCATGCTGATGCCTCCCCGCCAGCCGCATCTTCACACAGTGCCCCAGAGGGGAGGGTGGCCCTGAGGGATTGGGCTGGGGAGTTGCTGGGACCCCTGAGGAAGGAGGTTGGAGAACAGTTAAGGGCTGAAAGAACTCCAGAGAGATGGGTGTGGGAGGACCCTCACCTCTGCTGACAGTAGCGGTGCGGTTACAGACCCTGAGGAAGAAGGGCTTCAACGGCTGCGACAGCCCTGAGCCGGACGGGGAGGACTCGCTGGAACAGAGCCCCCTGCTGGAGGACAAGTACCGGCGCGCCAGCGAGGAGCTCGACGGGCTCTTCCGGCGCTATGGGGTGAGCCCCACTCACTCTCTCTCTGTTGGCCCCCCTTCCGGCCCCTTCCCCCCCAGGCGCTGCACAAGAAGCACAGGGAATGTGAGAGCCCTGAGGTGGACGAGGTGTTTGCCCTGACCCCCCAGACGGAGGAGAAATATAAAAAGATAGACGAGGAGTTTGATAAAATGATGCAGAGTTATAGACTGGCCGTGAGTAGTAGCATGGAGGAGAGCCTCCCTGTGGTGCATGGTGTGGCTTTGCGCCCCGCCCGCCCTGGCCCTCTGCTGCCTCTGATGGATGTTCTGCTCTGAGCCATGCTGGGGCTATTGGTGATTCCTAAAGAACCTCTGACCTTGGTTGTGAAAAACCTGTGACCCTCGCTGAGCCTCACTTGGATGGAGTATAAGCCAGGGAGGCCTGGAGTGTCCCCTCACCAACAAGAAATGTGTAGATGACATGAGAGCCTTAGATGACAGGAATGTAGACAATGTGCCATTGTCTGGATCTTTTGCGGGGAAAGGCCCCCTTGGGCCTGCTCTGACACCCCAGGCTCAGATGCTTAGTAGCATTGTTTAGGGAAGTCAGAGGCTGCTAAAGGGAAAGGCAATGAGGTGGGGTGAGCACCTACAGTAGGCCAGTGGATGAGAGATGGCAAGTGAAATGATGCCCGGACCCATGTGCAGGCCTGTAACAGCTGTGTGTGTGAGTTTGGGTCTGTACTCAGGGCCTCTAACCTGCCCCCTGTGTGTCCTGCCTGGCTGAGGACTAACCCACCTCTACTAGGGGGTTCCAGGTGTCCCTGGTCCTGTCTGTAGTGAGCAGAGCCTTGTTCTCGTTCTCTGGGCCGGAGCTGCATCCCAGAGCAGTCCCACCAATGCACTTCCTTGGTGGGAGTGGCAGGCAGGACTCCAAAAGGGCCCAAGGCAGAGAGATGGAGCTGCTGGCCCTAGATCGAGTGCACAGCCCAACACTAGAAGAACCCTCGCCTGCTTTCTCAGGCAAAGTGGGTCCAAGGTAAGAGGCCGCCCTGCCTGACCCCGCCTCTCCATTTTCTGTCTAGTCAGCTGTCCCGGCCCCCAACTTTGCCATGCCTGTGACAGTGCCCGTGTCCAATCAGAGCTCACTGCAGTTCAGCAATCCCAGCAGTTCCCTGGTCACCCCTTCCCTGGTGACATCATCCCTCACGGACCCACGGCTCCTGTCCCCCCAGCAGCCAGCACTACAGAGGAACAGTGTGTCTCCTGGTCTGCCCCAGCGCCCAGCCAGTGCAGGTGAGTGGGCTGCAGGTGGGTGGGTGAGGTGGAAATGAGGTGTGATGGGGGCTTGGGATTCCATTTTCAATAGAGAGTATTTCCCTTCACCTGCACAGCATTCTCCCATTGATGTGGCTCCTGAGGGAAGGAACTATGACTCCTGTCCTGTTCAGTCCCCAAGACTCACTCTGGAGGGGACGTCTTATCAGCTCATCACGGTTCTGTTTGTCTTCCAGGGGCCATGCTGGGGGGCGACCTCAACAGTGCTAATGGAGCCTGCCCCAGCCCTGTTGGTGAGTCCCGCTGCCCTTGCCAGGGGAAGGGGAGGTCCTGCCCAAGAGTCCAGGGACAAAGAAGGACCTAGATTACAGGAGGAGAAGGTCCCAGGGCCTGAATGGGAGGATTTCTAAGCCCTGAGGTTTTTTTTGTCTGTAGCAATGATTGGTGTGGAGCTATAGGCTCAGAGAATTCTGGACAAATGATTGGAGGTGAAGATTCAAGTTTTTCCAGTTGAGCAGGACATCTGGTTGGGATCTGAAGGATGGAAATATATCTCGTGTTGCCAATGGGCAGTAGGCACAGACTGACACACATACTTACATACACACGCGTAGACATTCTCACTCATGGAAATATCCAGACATTCAGTGTGCACTGTGTGCACACATCTATAAGCCCCAGAAGAAAGGCACACACCCCCCCACCCGGCAGCTGACAGTCCCTCCTGCCCTGTGCTGTTGTCCGGCTGGTTACTATGACTCCGAATGTCACCATTGACGTCACCCTGACATTCCTGCCATTCCCGGAGTGATCTGGGAATTGGGATGGAAGCAGCCACACAGTTACAGAGCAGCAGTGTGCTCTCAGGCAACAGAGCAGTGACACTTCTGATTGTGGTTACCCCCCACCTCTGGGCTTTAGAATCCCCCTTTAGCACCAAGCACCATATCCTAGCCTGTTGGCAGTGATTGTGTATGGGGTCAGGAAATGGGGGAAATGCGTGAATACACTCCCTCTCTGAGGAGAGGGCCAGACAAATGCCTGCAGACCTTACGGAGGCAGCGGTACTTGTGGGCCCTCAGGCCTGGCATGTGGAAAGTGGTGAGGGCCCTAGCTTGGCTTCCAGCCAGCTGTGTGGCCCTAGAGACGTCATTAATACCTCTGTCAACCAGGCCCTTCTGTACATAGGGCTAATGATACATGTCCTGACCACCTTGAGGGTTAGTGTGAGGATTAAATGAGATGATATGCATATGAAAGCCCCAAGTAGGTTGTGGAGTATGTAAGGATGGTTATTGTGCTTGTTATTACCAGCCTAATTATGGTGGTGGCTGGGTTATCAGTCCCCCATGCCAGGAAGAACACCACCACTAGTGAATGGCTCGTCTTCCCCAGAGCTGAGGGCATCTTGGCATGGGCTCATCCAAATCATCATGCCCCCAGCTCATTGCAAAGGGAGCAGCCTGAGTGGTTGATTTGCCCTGGTGAGCAGAATCCTCACTGAGGCCCAAATTCTAGGCTGCCACCCCCTTTTCCAACTTGGGTCACTGTGGGCCCAGTCAGAGGCAGGTAGTGGGATCACAAGGTGCTGGAGTTTCTGCCCATGGGCACCAAAGAGAGAAAAGGTGGGGAGAAGGCTTGGCTGCAGAAGAACCTCTTGAATATTGTGGTTTCCATTTCCAATTCTTCCTACCAACCTCAGAACTCCTACCACCCAGTCCCACACAGAGCTCAGAGCCAGGAGGATGAACCAATGGTTCGGTAGTAAGGGGTCTTAGGGGAAAATCAGATAGCTCAGTACCCACTCAAAGCCTGGGCGTGGCTTTGAGAGGACTGGGTGACCGGAGTACTGGCAAGGGGGCAGTTAACAGGGCTGAGGGGTGGGTCCATGTTTTTCCTTCTGTCCTCATCTCTTCTCCAGGGAATGGCTATGTCAGTGCTCGGGCTTCCCCTGGCCTCCTCCCCGTGGCCAATGGCAACAGCTTAAACAAGGTCATCCCTGCCAAGTCTCCACCCCCACCCACCCACAGCGCCCAGCTTGGAGCCCCCAGCCGCAAGCCCGACCTGAGGGTCATCACTTCCCAGGGAGGGAAGGGGTTAATGCACCACTTGGTGAGTGGGGTTTGGACAGGGGCTGGGGATGGGCGCGTGGAGGGAGGAAAGAGCCGATCTCCAGCAGAGATCTGAAGGTTACCCAGCAGTTAGGACTTGCCAAGAGAGACCATGAAGCATGGCTGGGAAGAAGTCCCAGAGGCTTTACAAAAGGTTGGAACACAGAAGTACCAGCCTCAAAGGCAGTAAAGGGAGCAGGAGATGGGAGAGACTGTTCTGTAGCAGGAAGAGATCGGCCATCACAGCAGAGGGATGGGAACTAGATTGCGAGGGTTTCCCACCTGATGGACATTGGGATGTGGCGTCTGTGGAAACCCATCAGGGCAGTGAGGAGCTCTGTGCTTCTAGGCTGCAGAGCCTTCCCGCTCTCAGGCAGAGGTGGGAGGGTGTGGGGACAGTGGTGTGCGGGGAAGGTGGAGGCAAGAGACTGAACCATCCCTTGGTTTTATTTCTGCTCCCAGACTGAGGACCATTTAGATCTGGTAAGTGAGGCTGTGAGATGTTTGCTGTGGCTTTGAATTCTGGGTCATCCCCTTGCTCTGTGGCCCCCAGCATGGAACATGTGTGTGCCCTTGTCCTTTTGCCTGTGTGTGTAGTGTGTGTTGTTTGGTTGCTTGCCGGGAGCTCCAAGCAGGATGCAAAGGTGAATGGGGCAGGGTCAGACATGCATGTGTTTGTACATGTGTGTATGTAGATGTGTTACTGTGATGTTGCATTCCTGCAGGCACACCTTTCTCTGTGTGTATGTGGGTGTGCCAGGGGAGTGGGCTAGGCCTTGCCTCAGGCCTTGTCCCAGGATGCCTGGATTAGGCCCTTGGACGAGCGGCTGGGCTGCACTTGCCCCCCGACTCTGCTCAGGCCCACCACATTCTTGGCACCCAGCGCAGGACCTCATAAAAGGGGTACCAGCCAGACAATAACATTCGTTTTCCAGGGAAGCCGAGGCTTAAGGTGAGGCCAGAGGTGTCCTTGATGGGGGGCTTCCCCATTTCCCTTCTGTCTCCTGTGCTCCCTTCTACACAGCCTGTCTCACAGGCGCTCAGAGGCATACCCAGCCGCTCTTTCCTTCACACACCTACATACTCACCCTCAGCCAGGATGGGGCGGGGGCTCCTCCCTCCCCAGTTCCCTGATGGGAGGCCAGTGAGGCTGGAAAAGGCAGGCAGGCTTTGGCGGCCAACACGGCAGCAGTTTCGGCCTCAGCGTGGAGTTGGAATAAACAAGTGAGTCAGCAGCAGATGGAGCTGACAGCCCCACACACGTGTGTGCATACACGCAGGCACACGCATTCCGTCACAGATGCCAGCACGCCTCTCCCCAGGCATGTGCTGCTGTGTGATAGATGGAGAGCAGACTCCAGAGGCATCAGCCAGGAGAAGAATGGCTCTCCCTTCTCTCCTCTGCCCTCGGAGAGCTTGGTGCCAGGCCACAGGGCAAGCATTCCTCTCTGTGTGTAGGTGTGAATGGATTTGTGTGGCATGTTTCTCTCTGTGGATCCCAGTCTATGAATGCAACAGCATGTGTTTGTGTATCTTCGGGGCCTCTGCTGAGGCCTCCCATCTGGGCCTTGGGACTCAGAGACCCCAGCTTGGCCTTGGAATGGAGG